TCCCCATAGCATGTATCCCAAAGAACCTCCGTTACAAACCCTAAACCATAAGCCTTAGCTGTAAACCCCCTAAACCCTATAAACCCTATAAACCCTACAAAACCCGATAAACCCAATAATCCCTCTAAAACCTATAAACCCCGTAAACCCTATAAACCCTGTAAACCCCATAAGCCCTCTAAACCCTCTAAACCCCATAAGCCCTAGAAACCCTCTAAACCCTAACTACCCCCTTCATCGGCTCCCCGACGATAAGTCGGCTCCCTCTTCCAGTCCTGTCTCACGTCATTTCAAGAAGCAAGCAAGGCCTCGCGCGTGCCCTCGGGTACTCATTGTGCAAAATTCTTAGGGATGTAGTATAACTGTTTAGGGCTCAGGGTTCAGGGTTTAGGGATATGTATGCTGAGGGATGCTGCCCCGTCTACTTTCTGACGTCCAGGGTCTCCCAAGTGTACGCAGCTGCGCCTTCAACGTCATCTCAGGCACCCTAGAGGGGTGTCGCGGAGTCCAGCACCGGACCTTTAGAGATACAGATCCAGAGCAGCCGGCCGGTGTAATGTAGGGGTCGGAGTGTTTTTAAATAGCATTCCCTTAAATTCCACTTCTAGACATACTACAATAACCCCCAAAGCCCTACTATTCTAATTTTTGAGGCCCTTATCTTATGCCAAAGCCCTGCGGGGGCCTCCAAGCACTCGTGTTCGAGGCAAAGGCCAGGCTGTAGAAGGCTTCTGCTGGTGGCTGGTGATTCGAGCCTAAGCCTACCCTAAACCCGAAACCCGAAACCCTTAACCCTAACCCATGAGTGACGCTTAACAGCCCTTCAAGATAACGGCTGCGCATCCTAAGCTCCGGTAAATTTGAAAGGCTCATGACTGCACTGCTGGGCTACCTGACGGCCGAAGGAAAACATCTGTGTTGCTTTGGGTTTAGGGTTTAGGGCTGGGTTTTAGGGTTTATAGTTTGGGTCAGGGTTTAGGGTTTGGGGTTTGGGGTTTCTCTGAAGGGTTCCAGAATGATTCTTCCTGTTGAGTGTTAGCAGCGTAGGCTTCACGAAGTGGAGGTATGGGCTTCTTGAAACTCATTTCTCGGAGGGGGGGGGGGGGGGGGGGGGGGGGGGGGGGGGGGGTCGGTGCAGAGGGTTTAAGGTTATTTCTTGGGGGGGGGGTCTTTGTTAACGGAGGGCAAAAGGCGTAGGGTAGAGGTTAGAGGGTACCCCTTAAGTTGCTTAAACCATATTGGGATTCCGATTGCACGTCCCAAAACCCTAATGAGAGTGTCTTGGAGTCCTCGGCTAGGAATCCTTCAGCACAAAACCCTAAACCCTGTTCAAAATTAGGCTACAGTATATCCCCCTTTGGAATTTTTGTTTGTGTTCATATAAACTCAAGGATACTTCAAATATGATTTTTATTCAGGTTCTAAGGGGGAGTATAGTCAGGATGGTGGTCTTAAGGTCTGGGAATGAGGCTCAGGGCATCACCAAGGCTGCTTCCCGAAATCAGGGCTCCATTTGGGAATCCTTCTACTAGAGGATGGTATCATATTTTGGGGGTGTCAAAAGGGTCCTGTATTTTGGGGAATACCCATATCATGTATTGGCTTGGGGTTTAGACTAAACTAAACCCGGGGTCAGCCCGACAAATTCAAGAATTCATGGTGCGCCGTAAACCGCAGGCCCTGAGTCCATAGGATTCGGGGTTTAGGGGCTAGGGTATAGGGTTTAGGGTTGAGGGTATACTGGAGGGGGGGGTGCTTAGAAGATCCCCAACTCCCAATCCAAAGACAGATGCCTTTACGGAGCAGGTGTGGGGCCTTCGTTTCTGTCCCCATCCAGCCCGAAGCCCCAGTGAAAAGGTCTCAGTTCCACGTGGAGGGGGGGTTAGGTCTTTTGGATTACGGGGTTTAGTTTAGGGTCCAGTGTCGAAGGGTTATAAAGTGACCTATGTACCTTTGGGAGGAATTCGGAGGCGGTTTCTGCTTCAGGGCGTTGACGTTTTACTTTCTGTTTTTTCTTATTATGGCTTGAGGGTTAGGGTGTAGGGTCAGAAGGTGTTCAGGGCTCGGGGTCGTGGGTTGTCGTTGACAACAACGCAACACGAGAGAGACCGACGTCTGCTTTCGCAACGCTTTCCCTGAACCATGTGCGCGCAGGGCTTAGGGCTGCATTACGCTAAACCTTTAAGCACATACGTGCAACGCGTGCCCCTAAACCCTGAATCCCCCCTAGCCCGTCGACAAAGCCCCTAAACCCTGAACTCCCTACGCCCCGCAAAACCCGAGAAATCCTACAACAACGAAACCTACAACAAAACCCTATAAATCCGACAAAACCCGATAAACTCTGCAAACCCTCTAAACCCTAATCCCTAATCCCTAACCCTAAACCCTAAACCCCAAACCCTAAACCCTCAACCCTAAACCCGAATCCCCGGCATCATGTCTCTGCTTGGGGTCAGCTCGACAGGCCCCAATGCTGCCGAGCCTCAGGCACAGGTACCCTGAACCCTAAACCCTAAACCCTAAACCCTAAACCCTAAACCCTAAACCGGGTTTCGGGCTTATGGGGTTTAGGGTTTAAAGGGACCCTTTTTTATTCTCTTGGGTGCTTCTTTCCTAACACCAAAATGGGTTCAGAGCTAGTCCTGTTATATCGTTATTTTCTAAACCTAATTGGGCGTAGAGTTAGTTCTGTTATCTGAGTGCAAGTGGTTGGAGTTCCCAACGTCGTGTTCGGGGCCCGGGCGCCTTTTGGGCGTTGTTGGCTGAGGTTCTGTTAAGGTGGGCTGTCTGTTTGACAGGTGCCTGACATTACAAAAGCCAACCAGCGGACTTCGAAACTTTGATCCGTGACCTGTGAGGAACTGATCAAGTGGAACCTAGAACATAAAGATGCTAAACCTAGAAGGTCCTTCCCTAAGGGTCCATGTACGTAATTATTATATTGGACCCTTGGGGCTTGCAGGGGCCCTAAAAAGCTGTAGTGCCCCAAAGTGTCGTGGACCCCTTCACCTCACAGTTGCAACGAGGACTGGGGAAGGAACCTACCTAAGTCCCCAGTTCCCGATCAAGAACCATGTAAATCTCTAAGGACCCTAAACCCTAAAGCCCTAAAACCCTAAAAACCCTAAAACCCTAAAACCCTTAAACCCTAAAACCCTAAAACCCTAAACCCTAAACCCTCAACCCTAAACCCTAAACCCTAAACCCTAAGCCCTAAGCCCTAAAGCCTAAACCCTCAAGCCTAAACCCCTAACCACCCCCACCTCCCGAGAGGCGTCTCGGAGGAGCCTTTTCTCTGCCCTGGGGCTCACTGCCCTCGGCGTGCCTCTCGCCGCGCAGGCGGGGGAATTTGTGCTTTTGGGTTTAGGGTTTAGGGTTTAGGGTTAGGGTTTAGGGTTTAGGGTTTAGGGTTTAGGGTTTAGGGTTTAGGGTTTAGGGTTTAGGGTTTAGGGTTTAGGGTTTAGGGTTTAGGGTTTAGGGTTTAGGGCTCAGAGTTGCTTCACTTCCTGCCACGGAAACTCTGCAGTCCTGCACTCGCACAGGGTTTCGGGTTTATAGGCTTTAGGTTTTAGGGTCTAGGGTCTAGGGTCTATGGTTAGGGTGTAGGATTTAGAGTTTAGGGTTTGGGGTTTAGGGTTTAGGGCTTAGAAAGCTACAAATCCCTACAAATCCCCCACTCGAGAGCCTGGAATTCTTGCATGTTTACAGCCGGGCTTCCACTTAAGAAGATCTGCGAATCTAAACAGACGAATACTCCCGAATCTCAACTCTAACACCCTAAACCCCTAAACCCTAAACCTCGCGAAACCCTAAACCCTAACCCTCCCGAAGCCCTAAACCCTAAACCCTAAACCCTAAACCCTGAACCCTGAACCCTGAACCCTGAACCCTGAACCCTGAACCCTGAACCCTGGACCCTGGACCCTGAACCCTGAACCTTAACGACATGGCCAGGCACAGGCTTCCAATATCGCCCCACAGGTGAAGGCGATTTGAGCGTCTGGGGGGGGGGGGGGGGGTTGCTCGAGAACGGGTTTACCGGTTTTTGGGGCTTAGGACTTGGGATCTAGGGTGTTGGGGTTGAGGGTTCAGGGTTGGTTTGCCGTGCTCCTTACAGCTTCTGCTTGGCAGGTTTCTTGGAGGCCGGGATTCGACGTTTGACCAGAATTCCCAGCCCTTTTGAAAGACTCGATGCCCAGTAGTACAGCAGTACCCCCTGAAACCCAAACCCTGAACCCTGAACCCTAAACCCTAAACCCTAAACCCTAAACCCTTTTTGGGGGGCCCCGGTTCCCTTATAAACCCCTTAAAGCAAACAAGGGCACGCTTCTGAACCCTCGGTTACTGGACAAATCTAGAGGGCCTATGGCCCCCAAGACCATTCCAGAAGGGTTTAGGGTTTAGGGTTTAGGGTTTAGGGTTTAGGGTTTAGGGTTTAGGGTTTAGGGTTCAGGGTTTAGGGTTTAGGGTTTAGGGTTTAGGGTTTAGGCTATTTGGGCTTTTTGTTGGCCGCACCCTGAGCTGCTGCCGCCAGCCTGAAAAGCTACCAGTTGGCGTGGTTGTCCTAAACCAGACAGAACACCAAAACCCTACAGACCCTAAATCCTGAACCCTAAACCCTAAACCCTAAACCCTAAATCCTAAACCCTAAACCGTAAGCCCTAAGCCCTAAACCCTAAACCCCAACTGTCTTGGGTTCCCTCTTTAGAAGGAAGCGCCAAGTCAGGTCTCGGAGGGTCCTACTTAATCCCCCCTACAGTTCAATCGGGACGTTAAAGGTAGAAGTGTGTGCCATATTCCGACCGGTGTTCTTGTTCTGGGGAAGGGGGTACGTACTAGGCTTAAGGATTCAGGCTTCAGGCTTCAGGGTTTAGGGTTTAGGGTTTAGGGTTTATTGTAGTTTGAGGTTTAGAGCTTGGGGGAATTGATACCACATCGAGTACGAGCACTGCTTGGTGTTCAGGTGGAAGTGCCAGACCGGATCAACTCGGACCCGTATGAGCCCAGATCTGAGTCTTGGTGCTCCCAGGGTTTAGGGTTTAGGGTTTAGGGTTTAGGGTTTAGGGTTTAGGGTTTAGGGTTAAGCGTTTAAGGTTTAGCGAGGTTCATGGGTACTGCTGATGAGCAGGGTTATACACAGGGTAACTACGGCCATATCCTGATTTAGGGTACATCCAGCCCTACTTCGAAGTACCTAAGCAAAACAAGTGGCAGCCTTGCCATCCCTGCCTGCTGGGCAACCTCGAAATGTACGTCCTGGGTGCAGCATGAGGATTCCTCACCCGGGCCATCCGAATGTTCTATCTTTTCTGGGGGGCTTCAGCCTTGTAAGTTGGGTTTAAGGGCTGCGGGGAAGCCTGATTGGGGCACCTTATACCCTAGACCCCGTAGTCGCCAGAGAACAGCCCGATCAAAGGCACCGCTCTCGAAAAAAAAGAGCCGCCCCAGGCGGCGATAGCGTTTAGGGTTTAGGGTTTAGGGTTTAGGGTTTAGGGTTTAGGGTTTAGGGTTTAGGGTTTAGGGTTTAGGGTTTAGGGTTTAGGGTTTAGGGTTTAGGGTTTAGGGTTTAGGGTTTAATTAGGGTTTAGGGTTTAGGGTTTACCATTGTTTCGGACAGCTGGGCCCACCCAGCCCCAAGCCGCGAACCCCACAACCCGGGCTTCCCTCCCTAAACCCTAAACCCTAAACCCTAAACCCTAAACCCTAAACCCTAAACCCTAAACCCTAAACCCTAAACCCTAAACCCTTCAGGGTTCACGGCCTTTGGCTTCTGCCTCCCCTTGAGGCTGATCGGCATGGATAACGTGAATGACAAGAAGGAGGCCATGCATCGGAGGTTAGGAGAGTTATGAATTGGGATGTTCCCCCCCCCCCATCCAGGGTTTAGGGTTTAGGGTTTAGGGTTTAGGGTTTAGGGTTTAGGGTTTAGGGTTTAGGGTTTAGGGTTTAGGGTTTAGGGTTCAGGGTTCAGGGTTTAGGGTTTAGGGTTTAGGGCTAGCAGTTCTGAATAGGGACTTTGATAGGAGGGTACTAGAAATCCCTATCAAGGACTGTTAGTATAAGGGGAGGCATCCCAAGTTGTGAAGACTTGCCACGGGTGTCGAGTCTGGCGGTTTGGGTTTGGATGCATTGTGTTGGGATCGAGGAGTTGGTTCTACGTGCGTGGCTCTGGACGCTGTCTTTGCCTTGCTAGACCAGTGGTACCCTTTACCATTTTTTTGGGGTTTGGATTCCCTTATAAAAAGTAACCAAACCAAAAAAGGGTGCCCTTTATTATAATATGGTTACTGGGCTACTAAGTTGCGGGCATGCGTTTGTGTCGTGGAGCTTTGGTGCTGCCAGCTTCGGAGACTTGTCGTCTAGGGTTTAGGGTCTAGGGTCTAGGGTTTAGGGTTTAGGGTTTAGGGTTTAGGGTTTAGGGTTTAGGGTGTGCGGTTGGTGAGCCTAAGCCCACAAGGGCCCCTCCAAGGTTTTCGAGAGCTGACCGACCGAAACCCTACACCCAAAACCTTCCCGAAGTGCTGGCATTTCGTTGCGAAAAGGGTTTAGGGTTTAGGGTTTAGGGTTTAGGGTTTAGGGTTTAGGGTTTAGGGTTTAGGGTTTAGGGTTTAGGGCTTCGAGTGGCCTAGGGCTTAAGACATCGGGCCTGGGGTTTAGGGCCTATAGGGCTTAGGGGCAACCCGAGAAAGCCCCCACAGAAACCAGCGGAGTCCCTGGGCCTTCAGGGTTGATAGGGCTCATAGGGATTTAGGGTTCAGGTTTAGTGTTTAGGGTTTAGGGTTTAGGGTTCAGGGTTTAGGGTTTAGGGTTTAGGGCTTAGGGTTTAGGGTTCAGGTTTAGGGTATAGGGTATAGGGTTTAGGGTTTAGGGTTTAGGGTTTAGGGTTAGGGTTTAAGGGACCCTGGTTGACCTGTTAGACGGGCTACAATCTTTCGCGGTTCTTGTAAGCCTAAACCCAAAACCCAAGACCTTAAACCCTAAACCCTAAACCCTAAACCCCCAACCCTGAACCTACAAAGAGACCCTGAACCAGCATCCGCAGATTGGCTTGGCGGGGGGTTCCCAGTCTCCTGAACCCTGCTTGGATGATCAGGGTAGTAACCCAGTTCTAACTGCACTTACAACCCAATTACAACCCAATTGGGGCACTTAAGAGGCTTAGAATGAGTGCCTTATAACTGCAATGAAATTGGGTTACCAAGTGCCCTGAACATCCAAGTAAGCCATCATCAGATACCCTAAACCCATGTCATTGCAGGGGGGGTTCCACAAATATTGTAGTCACAGCCTTCTGAGCTTCCTTGCAACGATGAGCCCAGAACCAACAAACACGAAGAATCTGGCTGCAGAGGTTTAGGGTTTAGGATCCTATAGGGTTTAGGGTCCTATACTTTGGGCATTTGGCGATCTGAGATCGCACTGCACCAATTATTCGTGGCTCGCCTGGAAGGACTACAAGACCTTCTACATGAAGTCCAAGTACCGGCAGGACACCTACCAGGTTGGGTTTAGGGTTTAGGGTTCAGGGTTCAGGGTTTAGGGTTTAGGGTTTAGGGTGTAGGGTGTAGGGTGCAAGGTTTGGGGTTTGGGGTTTAGGGTTTAGGGTTTAGGGTTTAGGGTTAGGGTGTAGGGTGTAGGGTGGTGGGTTTGAGGTTTGGGGTTTAGGGTTTAGGGTTTAGGGTATACTTGGAGGTTCAGGGTATCCCCTGTAAAGCCCCTTGCACCCTGATAGGGTTCTAGTCGGGTTCTAGGTACAGTCAGAATTTGGTTACTCAGTACCATGAACCTCCAAGTAGGTTTGGGGTTTACGAATGCACCGAACCAGGCAGTCGGGTGGATTGAACTTACTCAGTCCAGGCACAGATCGGATCGCGCACGGTGCATTGCAGCAAGAGGCCATATGCTTTCATACATTATTCATTTCCAATCTAAGTGGATGACATCAAAGAAACACAAAAGGTCTGTTTCGTCCTGGTATGTATCTACCGGACATAAGGAGGGGAGGCCTAACATGTCTGGATTTGCGCGGTGCATTTCGCGAAGCATGTGGATGTAGAACATGCCATTTGAGCGAGATTGCGGGAAGATGTTCACATAGAGAATGCACTTGGGGACTCCACCATATTGTAGTTTGTAATTCCTTCGCATCTACCCAAGCATCCATAAGTACGGTCGACTATCCCTTGAATTATGGGAAGACTTCTTGTGTTTGTTTACCGAATCTGACTCAATCAAGGGTTTCGGGAGCGGAGCTTCCCAGCGAAGGTACCTTGAGGTCTCATTCAAGCAGGTCGCGCAGCACTGGCAGTAAACCCTTCCAGCACTCCCAAAAAGGTAGCATTGGCAATCAGGCAATCGTGGGTTCACATGGCCCTAACCAGGACTAAGCCCTGAACCGCAGGTGATGAAGCACATGAAGATCTCTGCCTCCTTGGATAAGGGGACTCCTAACATGGAGAAGTGGTGCAATCCCCAGCGGTCTGCAGCGTTCGGGATTTACCACAAGGCTCCCAGTACACAAACAATGGGGTACCTGCTGTACTCGTAGGCTGTGTGAAGCCTTAGGATTTAAACCATTTAATTGACATGTGTGGCCAATTCTACTATATCAAAGTTTAGAGTATATAGTATGTGAAACTTGATGTTTGAGTGGCATAGATCATCAATAGCATAGGAAACATTGCATGTAATGTTCAACCTTCATCACATAGCAAATAAAAAGCACTTTCTCATACAATGTTTTCATAACTGTGGAACAATATGTTTTATAGATTGGTTGATCATATGTAATTTATGATTTGCAAAAAATACAGTATGCAAGATAAATAGAATGTAATGCCATTCAGTATAATGTAAGAGCACTTTATACATTTACAACGTATTTGTATGCATGAATGTATGTACGCATGTGTATATATGTCTATCTATCGCTTGGAAGCCTTTTTGACTTAGTACGTCTACTCAGTATCCCCTAGAGACCCTTTAATATTCCCAACAACTGCCTTACTCACCCTACTGACTAAGCCAAAAAGACTTCCAAGTAATCCTCTGCATCCTAATCCCCAAACCCTGAACCCCAACCTAAACCCTAAACCCGAATTGAACCCTAAGCCAATCGTGCTTAGGAATTCCCGCGTGAAGAAGGAGATGAATGACTGGTTGGCCTTGTACCGACGGCAGAATCTCTCCGTGGGCAGGTAGGGCCCACGCGCTGAGGTTTAGGGTTTAGGGTTTAGGGTTTAGGGTTTAGGGTTTAGGGTTTAGGGTTTAGGGTTTAGGGTTTAACCCTAGAAGGCCTGTCAGGGTTTCATCTTCGGGCTTTGCAGGTTAGGGTTTGGGGTATAGGGTTTAGGGTTTAGGATTTAGGGTTTAGGGCTTAGGGGTTAGGGTTTTAGGGTTTGAACCATGGAGCCTCCCCCCCCCCCCCTCCCCCCCCTCCCCCCTCAATGTCGCTCTTTTCAGCCTCTGACCTCGAGATCCTCCTAAACCGTAAACCCGCCCAAGTCTGTGATTCCTGAACTCATGGAGACCTTTGAAAGACCAGCGTACACTAAACTGCCCTACACCCTAACGCAAACCTTAAGATTCAGGGTGTACCTTTTGGAGCGTCTACCCAAGAATTGGGCTAGGACCCGGAGTAGGCCCTTATTCTCTCTTGTCAGGATCCAGGTTCCCGTATAAACCCCTCTAAACCAAAAAAGTCACCCTTTTTATTCCTAGGTTACTCTTGGGTCTAGTATCCCTAAACCCTAAACCCTAAACCCTAAACCCTAAACCCTAAACCCTAAACCCTCGGCAACCCGTGGGTTATGTTGCACTAAGACCCTGGACGCAGGCAGAGCTATTACTCGCTGTACTCCGCCATCAACACCTTGGCCGGGGTCTGTAGAACTCGTTCCGGTTTAGGGTTTAGGGTTTAGGGTTTAAGGTTCAAGGTTTAGGGTTTAGAGTTTAGAGTTTAGGGTTTAGGGTTTAGGGTTTAAGTATGCCTGGGACTGGGGATAGACTGGTCTAGGCTTTAAGGTTCACGGATTACCTGGGGCCCTCTTGACCTACAGTTCAGTAGGTAACTACCCCTTACTTAGTAGGTATAACCCATAAACCTGTAGGCAAGCAAAGAGGAGGTAGGGTGTAGGGCTTACTTGGAGGTTCAGGGTACTTAGCCACCAATTATGAGTGTAGTTTTAACCCACTTACAAGCCCCGTAAGTACCCTGACAGGGTTATATTTGGGTTAAAAGTACGGATATAATTGGATTACTAAGTACAATGAACCTGCAAGCAGTCCGGTGGGGGGAACTTTCATGCTACGAGCTTAACTTTTGAAGGCTCAAGGGGGACGGCGCCCGGGCGCGGCAAGTAACCCTGAACCCTACAGACCCTAAACCCTGAAAGCTGTCGGGCGGAAACCTAAACCACAAACCCCAAACCCCTAACTCCAAAACCTCGTCGCATTCTGCAAGCTTGGAAGGACAAGCGATCTGGGACTTTCGGGCTTAAAAGGGCTTGAGTGGAGTTTCTCGGAGGTTCAGGTCTCTAATGGGGTCCGGAGGTTTAGGGATTTCTGATTTCAGGGCTTCCGAGCTTTCAAGTGGCTTTGGGGGTCGGGGGGGGGGGGGGGGGGGGGGGGGGGGGGGGGGAGGCTTGGGGTCTCCAAGGCTTTCATAGTGAGGGTTGAGGGTTTGGGGTTCAATGTTTAGGATTCAGGGTCGAGGGTTTAGGGTTTAGGCCTTCAAGTAGGGTTTAGGGTTCAGGCTTTGATTTTTTAATCATCTGCCAGGCCTCGCACTTTACCTCCTATGGCCCAAAGTTCCCGCGCGGGGCCCCGGCATGGAGAGGTTGGGGGTCACCGGTTTAGCAATGCAAACCCTAAACCCCGAAACCCGAAACCCGAACCCTAAAACCCTAAAACCCTAAAACCCTAAAACCCTAAAACCCTAAAACCCTAAAACCCTAAAACCCTAAACCCTAAACCCTAAACCCTAAACCCTAAACCCTAAACCCTAAACCCTAAACCCTAAACCCTAAACCCTAAACCCTAAACCCTAAACCCTAAACCCTAAACCCTAAACCCTAAACCCTAAACCCTAAACCCTAAACCCTAAACCCTAAACCCTAAACCCTAAACCCTAAACCCTAAACCCTAAACCCTAAACCCAACCATCAACCTCAAAACCCCACAGCTCAGAAGCCCTGAGCCCCTGACATTTTGTCTTCCTTGGTTGAAACCCTAAACTTTAGATCCTAAACCCCTAAAGTCTAAACCCTAAACCCTAAACCCTAAACCCTAGACCCTAGACCCTAAACCCTAAACCCTAAACCTTAAACCTGCAGCCTCTAAATCCTGACCTCGCCACCAGTCTCACGGGTTTGAGTTTCAGACGTTCATGATTGATCCGGGTTTCAGGCTTAACCGGGATGCTTCACCCCAAACCCTTGTTTTTTGTTTGGGTGTTTAGGGTTTAAACCGGGTTCAGGGCTTAGGGCGGGGGGGGGGGGGGTTCAGGTTTAGGTGTTCCGCGCGGAGGCCCATGACTGGCTATCCCTTTTTGCTCTTCAGTGGCTAAGGATAGAACTCTGAAGCCTGAACCCTGAACCCTAAACCCCAGACCCTAGACCCTAGACCCTAAACCCTAAACCCTAAACCCTAAACCCTAAACCCTAAACCTTTCCTTGGGGGAGGCGGTTATAGCTACCCATGACCTTCAGGTAGGTTCCCTTATGAGCCCCAGTGGAGCAACGCACGCTTCTCAATCGGCTAAACCTCAAAGCTTGGGCCAGGTTAAGTGTATTTCAGTGCAGCTCACGAGCCCTAAACCTTCAACCCTAAGCCCTAAACCCTAAACCCTAAGCCCTAAATCCTAAACCCTAAGCCCTAAACCCTAGACCCTAGACCCTACGCTTTTCCCGCTTCTTTCGGGGTCACTGAGGTTCCCCAACAAGCGGAGGCCTCGCTTCTACGAGCTCTGCAACCAAGTTGAGAAGTGACCACCAGGGTTCAGGGTTCAGGGTTTAGGGTTTAGGGTTCAGGGTTTAGGGTTTAGGGTTTAGGGTGTAGGGTGTAGGGTTTAGGGTTTAGGGTATAGGGTCTAGAGTCTTAAGGGCTCCAAGGGCTTGGGCTTGGAGGGCCTTGGCCTACCCTTTTCCCTGTTTTTGCTGGTTCCTGGTTCCCTAAACCCTAAACCCTAAACCCTAAACCCTAAACCCTAAACCCTAAACCCTAAACCCTAATGGCAAGACGAGTTGCGCACATCTCCCTGCCACCCCCCGCCCCGGCCCCTCCGGTGGCGAACAGCTTCATAAACGGTTGGTTCAACACACATGGTCTTTTCCAGCGCAGCAAGATTTTCCTAAGCCGCTACCATGACCTGCCCTACCTCCAATGACCTATGGGCAGTTCTCTGTAGGTTTCAGAGGTGGAGGTCCAGGGCTCAGTGTGTGGAAGTTTACTTGGGCCCTGAAGTATAGCTTTATGGATGGTGCTGAATTTGTTGCGATGACCCCCCAAAGACAGAGCTAGAACTAGAAGAGTCCAGGTGGGGTTTTGAGTTCTTGTCGGCCGAGATGTCATTTGCGTGCCTTCATCCGTCCATTGGAGCTCAAGAACCGTTGAAACTCCCCATCCGGTACTGAACCACATACGTGCTGCTTGGCAGAAGACGCCTGGGAAGCTCTGGCGAACCCCGAGGCCTAAACCAAACCTCAAAGCCTGTCCAGGACTCGCACCCAAACTTCGACCCACAACCCTTACAAGACATAAACCCTACAGACCCCCGTAAGATCCGAACCCTGTAGAAACCCTAAGCCCCAAGAAGTATATCCAGACAACTGCGGGTTTAACGCCATTTGTCAGTCGGTTTCCTTAGTATTAGTGTTATTATAATAAGTATTGCTATTGTGATTCTAGATTCACACATGAATAGCAAGTAAACAGTATATATGTATACATATGTATATATATATATATATATACATATGCATATGCTACAGTCTATATATATATATATGTAGTTATGTATTTTGTTCGTTTATGTGTATACTAGCCTATGTATATGCACACACCTAGATCGAGACCCTAAAACGTATAAGAGAAAAGTAGCGGAGTAGCGATGAACCCCAGAGGTCTCGACGGTCAAACAAGGCCCCCTCCCCCAACCCCCCCCCCCCCCCCCCCCCCCCCCCCCCCCCCACCCCGCCCACCCTCCCTAAGCTAACCAACCCAACCATATCATCAGAACCCTTGGTTAGGGTTTAGGGCTGGGAGCTTAATCACCCCGAATTTCGGAAGCCTCGACTTAGGGGTTTGGGGTTAAAGGACCCCCAAATTTTCGGAGAACTCCGAAAAGAGCTCAGGTTGTTTCTCGGAGATGGCCGTGTTGGTGCAAGCATCTGCCGAGTCCGTGCCAGCTGATACCACCCAGGACTGTCCTCAGCTCTGGTTGTATGTGGCAAATACAAATAATCATAAATACTGATGTTGATATTTATGTATGTATACATGTATTCATAATATGTGTTTATATATATATATATATATATATATATCTATATCTATATATACATTATGTATGCTGGTATGTTATTCGAGTTTTTTGTTCGTACATATTTATGCATACGTTTGTACTTAGACGCATATTTTGGGTACACATGTAACATATTCAATTGCATGAACTTAGATTAGATTAGATTCAGAATGCCTTGTACGCCCCGTATCCTTGGCCCTGGGCCACATTCCATGCAGCTTGGGAGGCTCCAAGGTCGTGCGAGGTAGGAACTGGGATCAGGGTTTAGGATTTCGGGGCCGCTTGATTTGGGGAATGAACTGCAATCGGATGTAGTCTCTTTGGGGCCTTTAGAGGATGGAGTGCAGGACTTGTGGGTTCAGGGCTCACGGGATCCTCGTGATGGCGACACACGTCTCGGACTTAGAGGCGTTTCTGCTTCGGCGTGAGCTGGGCCAGCTTGATAAGCCGATCACCCTCGACGTAGTCCAGCCATCGGGTGCCTCCTACCAAGTTTCTGTGGGGCGAAACGACGCGATCTCGCATGTCGCGGATGCTGTCACGAGAATCCTGCAACCGGAGGACGGCCTTGAGCTGAGACTCATCCATGGGACTGAGGAGCTGACGCAATGTGGCAGAAGTGTTGGTGAGTATGGCCTGGCGGATGGCAGCTTTGTCATGCAAGAGCAGACTTTCTCCATGTGACCGAATTCGCAGATAGAGCGCCAGAGCTTTCAAGGAGCTAGCTCGGGATGTTCCCCCTTATACTAAAAGTCCTTAGTAGGGATTATAGGTACCCCCTATTATAGCCCTATTCAGGACTGTTGGTATAAGGGGGAAACATCCCAAGAGCTAGCTGTTTTGGGGTGGAGACTTGGGCCTGCAGGGTCTCGGACCCTACACAAATCCTTGGTAACCCCAGTGGTTCCCTTTTTTCCTGTTTGTGGTTCAAGGTTCCTTTTTGAAGTAGCCAACCAAGAAGGGGTACCCTTATTCTAATATGGTTCCTGGTCTACCAAGAATCCTTGGAGCACTGGAATTGCAAGCCACGTGGTGAAACCTACACGCCAAGGAGACACCGTCACGGTGATCTTTGACAAGCGATCACCGGCCGCGTGGCTCGCTGCTGGGCTGCGGATCAAGGAAGTGTCGGGAGAAGCGCCTTGCCAAAGTTTGCATATTTCGATGTCTGGGGGAAAGGGGGGGGCTGAGAGCTTACCTGCCCAACGACATACTATTGCTCGATACGATAGACAAACCTGAAGCCTGGTTTCTACACTAGTTAGAAGACTGCAGAAGTTGATCGGCTCCAGTCTCATCAGGATCTTCCCCAACTAGACCTCACCCCTTTGCTGTATAGGCACTGATTGCGTGGTACACATTAACTGAACTTTTTCAGCCGCACCCCAAACTGCACTTCAGAGTCCTATCCTTGCGAGGCTTGTCAACGGTTCCTTGTTCCAGCCACGCCGCGTGCATCCAGCACTGTTGCAGTAGGTCGCGAAGCCATGCCGTATGGGTTGTAGGCGTAATTACAGTGGATTCGTTTCCGGTTTCTTGTATAGATGGAATTTAAGCTACTAAGTTGATAAGTGTGCAGGGTTGTGGCTTACGAAGTACAGGTATGCGAAGGCTGAGCTATGCTCGGGCGTTTCTTTGGTCTCATTCCAAGCAGCACAATGGCAGTTGCCACGCGCAGGCGATGGTGCGAGTTGTTAGATCCAGCCTGTAGACCCAAACGTGAGCCTGCCGGGGTGTGCGACAAAAGAACCTGCCAAGTCTTGCCGTACCTTTGCATCATGGGGCTTGCTGTGTTTCCTGTAACTAGGATGCCCAGTAGTGCCCTTTTTCCCTTTTTGGGGGGTTTAGGTTCCCTTATAAACCCCTTTAAGCAAAAAAGGGCACCCTTTTTGATCCCAGGTTACTGGGCAACCCAGGTAAGCACACTGTTTATGGCGATGTCTTTATGGCCGCAGCTTGTTCCATGGCCCCTCCTTCCCTGGTTTTGTGTCTTAACCTTAGAACTGCAGCTACCCAATTCTAGAAGGGAAGCCATTCTTATTCCTAGTCTGCTGCGGATGCCAGGGCAACTGGTGGCTCAAGTCCCCCAAGCCTCCATCAGCAGTGTTCAAAACTGCATGTTCGTCCTGCTCGCCCAAAGCCCCAAGCTTTCAAAGAGGACAACCCAAAGCCCAGAACCCTAAACCCTGAACCCTGAACCCTTAAACCCTTAAACCCTAAACCCTAAACCCTTAGACTGACCAGGACTGGCTCTTTTCCGCAGCAGTGGCCGCTGTTGCCCTCACTGTGTCTCGATTTAGGATTCAGGGTTTAGGGTTTAGGGGTTAGGGAATAGTGTAGGGTTTACTTTACAGGTTTTGCAGGGACTATAGGGTTCCTAGCCGCCTGGGGGGTTCGAAGAAGACCCGAGACTAACTTTGATTATAGCTAGCCATCACCTACCACATATACAAGCATACGGTTTTCGGGTTTAGGGTTTAAGGTTTAGGGTTTGGAAACTTAACTGTAAGCCCCTAAACATTGCAATGGTGTGTTCGCGCGTGCGCGGAGACGCGCGTGCCCGCCCTTCAACTTCGAGGTGGTCAAGGGCGTACTTGGAGGTTCAGGGTACTTAGTAACCCAATTATGACTGTACTTTAGGGTTTAGGGTTTAGGGTTTCGGGTTTAAGCCAATCAGAACTGTACTCAAAACCCAATGATAACCCTATTAGTGTACTTATGGGGCTTATAAGTGATTTATAAGTACACAAGGACCCCAATAGGGTTATAATTGGGTGATAAGTGCAGTCATACACTTGTATTTCGGTCACAGGTACCCTGAACCACCAAGCAGGGTTTGGGGTTCAGATCTGAATCAGCTCCTTGGTGTCGCTCCTCTGCGGTCCTATCTTCGAAAACAATGGCGGCCGCGGCGTTTTCAGAGTTTAGGGTTTAGGGTTTAGGGTTTAGGGTTTAGGGTTTAGGGCTTAGGGCGTAGGGTTTAGGGTTTAGGGTTTAGGGTTTACAGTTTAGAGTTCAGGGTTTTTGCTGGGAGTTACTTTCCGTCGCAGGATGCCGAGCAGTACTCTTATTCGTGCTTTAGGCGGGGTAGAATTCCCTGCAAGCTTCATTAAACCAAGAAACGGAAAACTAAAAAGAGTTTCGGGGTTCAGGGTTCAGGAACCCTAAACCCTAAACCCTAAACCCTAAAACCTGCTCGTCTCATCTGAGGTCTGGCTTCTGGAACGCCAGTTTGCAGGCTACGCGGCAGATTTAGGGTTTAGGGTTTAGGGTTTAGGGTTTAGGGTTTAGGGTTTAGGGTTTAGGGTTTAGGGGAGATTGGTTGGTTCAGTCAGGCGCGAGACTGCGGAGGTCCCTTTCAGGGGGGGAGCCTGCTGCATTTGAGGGAAACCCTATAACCCTAAACCCCTAAACCCCTAACCCCCTAAACCCCTAAACCCCTAATTACTAAACCCCTAAAC